GGTTAGAAAATTTACGACTTAGAAAATATTCTCTTCGCAAATATGGTTTTTTTTTTAAAAGGCCTCTTCTCAAATATATGGCATAACATGTATAGTTTAAACCATTCGTTCTTTGTCAAACCATGTATATTTTCATCAAATAATTTCCAATATCCAAAAAATAATATCTTATTGTTTGTTGTACAACTTAAACCACAAGGTGTACCTTTTATAAGTTACATTTGTACACATAATGACCAAACAACATTTCCAAACCTCCAGTAATGCAATAGTACCTTTTACAAGTTAAATTTGTACACAAATACAAACTAATTTCAATGTTAACCGAAATATATAACTTCTAAAACAAATTGACTATGTAATATCAAATATATAAAACGAAATCTTTAAAAAATGATTGTAAAACTAACCCGCGCGTATGCACGCTCACCTAGTAATTATAAAATATCTTGTTTATTAATATTGAAGAAGCGATATGCATCAGATCTCAAACCAACGATTAATACCAAACCAAATAAGCAATGATCCATTAATCGTATTATAAAATATGTGACCATGATTATGATTCGATCAACATGCATACATGGATATGCTATCAAACCAATCATTAAGTCAAATAAATAATTGTATAATAAGAACAGTAACGACATAAGAGAACATGTGTATCCTATCAAATTTTTAATAATAAGATGAAATAAGAGAACACATATTGATTGAATCATATAAAGCACATACAAAAATAACGAAATACTACTTCTATCAAAGCGAATACTTGCTAACTCATATAAGACAAATACTTGTTAAGTCATATAAGACATATTCAATAAGAATACATAAGTCAAAACGATGAAAAAAATTCAATCGTTTTTTATTGGGAAAAAAATTAGTTTGACACTTATTTATTGGTTAATTACTATAATAGCTCTTATTTTATTTTAATTACTAAAAAAAATTTCATGCCTATTATACCCTCAACTCCTTTGTTAGGAAAAACTATATTTACAAAAATACCATTATCAAAAAATTTTGAAAAAAAAAAAAATTACGGTCTTGCCATATGACAGACTTAATTTAAAGTGACCACAAATTTATTTTTAGACAAACTTATTTTTTTTTTGCCACAAACTTATTTAATATTGACAGATTTATAAATATTTCCCAGATTTACTTAACAAATTTTTTCTTTTTAGCCATAGACTTACTTAAGTTTAACAGACTTAATTAGCTTTCAATAGATTTATTTTTCTTTGGCCACAGATTTTCTTAATTTTGACAGATTTATAAATATTTCACATTTTTATGTAACAGATTTTTTTCTTTTTGGTCATAGACTAACTTAAGTTTAAAAGACTAATTAGCTTTTATTAGATTTATTTTCCTTTATCCACAGATTTTTTTAAATTTGACAGACTTAATTAGTTTGTCACTGATTTATATGATAGATTTATATTATTTTGACCATAAATTTATTTTTCTTTAACCATAGACTAACATATATAGATTAACCTAACTCTACCGATTTGGCTAAACCAAATCGAACCATACCATATTAACCGAACTAAACCATTTAAACCACAATAAACCAAATTTTCAATTATAAAAAAAACACCAAAATTAGGGTTTGATATATGAGATGTCGTGTG